TATATATATATATATAAGATTGATGATTATTGTTTTTAAATATTTTGATTGAATACAGGGCTACGAAGATTTATAATCAATTAAAATTATTAATTAAGAAATAGAATAAATATATATTAAATTCTATTTAAATGAATATTTAATATAAATAATAAGATTCAAATCTAGCCCCTACTGTTAATGTTGGCATGCTTAATGAGAGATGACATAGGTAGTTCGGTCACCATAGGCGTGAGGAGAAAGTCCTGCAAAATGAGTGACCAGTTGTTCGATATGTACCATATATTTTATCTTAGTTTTTGTGGGTATGAATGCGATTGGAAATTGATGAAAGTTTGAGCATCCTCTCGTATTTGTTGGCATGTGTGAATATTCATTGATTGGATTGTTTTTGAGATCGTATTTTAGAAAGATTAATATTCTATATTTCAACTTTCTTATACTTGGTGTTTTTTTAAAATCTTGATATAGTTTTTTTTTAAATGATCTACTCTTTTTTTTTTCAGTGGCTTATTGAAAAAATTTTTAAAGTCTAATCTTTCCAAGGGTTACTGGACTCATTGTAACTTTGATAGGTGACTTGTTTTGTTAATGAAATTGATTAACAATAAGACTTCCCAAGTCTTCTAAAAAAGTGGCAGCTTATAGTTATAATTATATAATTTTCTTTTGATTGCACTGGCATTTGTACAGGGCGTATTTCTTCTAAACAATCCTTAATTAATGACAGGTTTATTTGAGTGTAATTTTTAAAAAATAATCCTCGACTAGAATGTTTTCATTCTGCTTAAATATGTTGAGTTTTGTCTTTATAACATATGGAGTTAACTTTGAAACAATTGGTTCAGGAGGGCCTTACAGCCACACTAAGCAAACTTCAGATTTTCTCTGTGGTATGTTCCTTGATCTTATTACTAGTGTTTATTTAATTGGGTAGAAATTAACTTGATATAAATTTTGAGTCACTTCTTTATTATTATTTATGATGCAATTAGGTTTGATTCTAATGGTTTTGATTTTTATTAAGGCAATTAAAAATTTATCTTGTTATTAGAGAAAACCTAAGAATTGATTCAAAATTTTATCATTGGATGCTATGTAAATTAATATTGGATCTGCCAGCTTATTAGAATTCTTTTATAAATTTGAGCTATGCATGCTTACATGTGCATGACTGATATACATTTCTACACAGTAGGCGCGTGCATGGGAAAATAGTTCTACTGAAAATAATTTGTGCTGAAAATTCTTTTCTTAATAATATTTTCGTGAAAGTATCCAGGTTTACTATTTTTGTTTGCTTGTTAGATGGTAAAGCTTTTTTATAGAGAAGGACCATGATAAAAAGGTGTAAAAAATTTTAGATTTTTTTTTTTGAAACGGAGTTATTGGCGTCTTACTAATCAAAATTGCATTCAGACTAACTTCAAGATGAAAGCTACGGGGCATTTTCAGTCTGAAGTTTTAGTGTGAATATATGTATACTCTTGATATGTCACTAGTTTTTGAGAGCTTTTGCTACAATGAAATTTGTCACCCTTGGCAAGCTAGGTTGAGGGTGAATGTATGGTTACTTTGGGCATAAATCAGTTGATTAGTTCTGGGCTCCATATGTATGTGTGTGTGTTTCTATATATATATATATATGTAAAGTTTATATTACTTCTTTTTTTTTTTGCTGTGGCAGAATTCCTTATGTTTGTGATTTTATCTTGAATTCACCCAGATTTGGAGCGTGAAATGCATATTCCTTGGAAATTTTAGATGGGCTTTCTTATGGCGAGGATCCCTTTAAATTAGGGTTTTATCTTGAATGAGTCCATCATTGGGGTTATAATCTGAAATATGTTTTCCTTGTAGTCTTAGAGGGCATTTTTATTATAAGGATGCCCTCCGGTTAGGATTTGCACTATCCGTACCCATCATATGAGAGTGTTGTATGAAGTAATTATCTTTATAATTGCGAGCTTGATTCTAGTGATAAATTGATTTATTTGTATTGATAATGATATTGCAAACACTTCTTGTTATGATATCTAATATTCGATCCCATAATTGAGTTGGGTGTTTCAAATTTGCAGTTGAGGTCTCATTAGCCTGGTATTTTGATCCAATTATAAAGTTATTGAATCTCTTGGAAGTTTTCTTTGGTTTCCATTACTGGGGCTTGTTGAACTGGAGAGGCTTCATAAGGCTAGCTAAACTATCAAATGTGTTGAGTAGGGCCTTATCTGATAAGGTTATCTATTCGGTTATCGGTAATCAAGAGCTCTAGGCTGGTGAATTTGCCATTCGCCAACTTTTTGGCTTTTTATCGAGGCTTTTGTAGCTTTGGAATTCTTTCTGCATCGCCTTTGAAACTTTCTAATCTGTTAGATATATTGAACATCAAGGGCTTATTTTTTGCGCATTTTAGATGCATCTAGAGTTGACCCTTTAAATTATTTTTTCTAATTACCTTATTTGTCATTGAGGTAGGACGTTTTAGAGTTTTTATTTGTAGGGGATTCTTCAATGATTTTGGTAACCAATTCAGTTGTGATATTCAATAATGACACCATATTTGTTAGAAGCCTACACAGACATGAATTTTTAGAAGCCTACACAGACATTAATTTACTTGTTAATGGTGGTTCAACGACTTAATATAATTTGATTTGTGTATGGTCGATCCAAAGAATATAGCTTAAACTGTTTTTCTTGATAGCCTCAATTTGATCTTTAGGTCTTGGTGTATTGGCATGCAAATCAAGACGTTTAATGCTAATACTAGTTGTGCAGCATTATCTTTTGCTTGTGAATTTTTCATTTTTAATTTCAGTGATGGTTAATTTTTACTTTATCACTTTGAGATCGACTCGAGAGCTTTCTGTTAGGTTGGCGCCTAGCCCAAGGGCAAATTAATCATTTGTACGCCTAAAGGGCAATTTAGTTTTTTTTTTTTTATTGTTTGGTATAAATAAACTTGTTATATCTAGGGTTAGTTTAATGAATAAAATTGGATTGTTAGTCTTAAGTTTAGGGTTTGGGATAGATTTCCTACCGATATTGTCGTGATTTGAGCTTACAGTTACACACAAAACAATATTGCACGTGACGACATATCCTGAGAAGGCCGCAAGGGATTGCGTCAAATAGAGATTCGATGTTTTCATCTTCTAGGCTGAGGGAATCACGACGAACAAAGACATGAAGCTCACATATTTTGGCAGCGCGCCGATCTGTGTGCATACAATTGTGTTAGGTGCTACCTGGGAAGTGATGATGGGATTGACGTGATTTGGGAACACGATTTTGAGTAGGGCTGTCAAAAAAGCTTGTTGTTCGCAAACAGTTCGTGTTCGACTCGTCGGGGAGTTCGTGTTCAATTCGTTCGATAAGCAAACGAATGAGACGAACATGAACATTTTTTTTTTCGTTCGGTTTATAAACGAACAAAACACAAACAATCATTTGTTCGATTGTGTTCGAGTTGTTATTGTTCAAAATATAAAATAATTTAAAATAATTATATATAAAAAATTTATCACATTTTTTATCATATTTTAAAAAGTTAAATCCTATAAATTATAATCTGATCTTCAAGTTCGTCTCTTAGTTTATATTAAATTCTATAATTTTGTATTTATCTTCAGGTTCATCTCTTAGCTTAAATATTCTTATATTTCGTTTAAATTTATTTAGTTTCTTTGAGTGAAACCTAATTTTTGGGAGGAGTGAAATCTATCAAATTGCCTCTACATCTAAATTTTTTTATGGATGAGATATGATATTATGGTTTTATTGTGAGTTGTGTTTCGATTATTTTGCATTTATGCTGTGATTCATACAAGTTTATGCATTAATTTCATATAGGTTTAAACTTTTGAAAGATCTCGAAAAATTCGAACAATACAAACAAATTTGTAAGATTTCGAACAATTCAAACAATTCGAATAATTCAAATAATTCGAACAGTTTGAACGTTTCAAAAAATTTAAACATTTCAAACATATTTCAAACAAATCAAATCGAACACAAACTGTAATTTCACGAATAATTTCAAACATGAGTCTATTTCAAACACACGTAATTTCAAACGAACCGAACACGAACACGAACACGAGCTCTGTTCGTTCGTGCTTGGTTCATTCACACCCCTAATTTTGAGGTACTGTTGTAATCAGGGCTAGTTGAGAAGAGACGATAGTATTTCAGGGTATAAAAATTTTTGCTTTTGAGATAGAAAGTTTTTTTAGAAGAGATGACAACAAAAAAAGTAGATGGTCTAGAGAAGAAATTAGAGGAAGAGATAAGTCAATTTAATCTGGTAAGAAAGGTTCAATTTTAATCTGGTAAGAAAGGTTCACCACCATTAGGGCTGCAAACGAGCTATTTCTAAGAAAGGTTCACCACCATTAGGGCTGTAAAAGTAGATTAAATAGAAATTTTAATCTGGTAAGAAAGCTCAGGCTTGGCTCGTGCTCGACTCGTTCGAAATAGCTCGTGTTCGAAATTGGCTCGTGAACAGTATGTTCGTATTCAACTCGATTTAAATATTCGTGTTCGTGTTCGGCTCGTGTTTGACTCGAAATTGACTCGAAAAAATTAAATTGAAAAAAATAGATGTAAAATGTGAGATTTGAACCTGAATCAAATGTATACAAAAGAAGACACTAACCCCATTACCATTTTAATTTCGAGCTAAAACGAGCCGAACACGAGCGAACAAAGAGTTGTTCGTGTTCGACTCATTTATAATTTGAGCTTTAAATACTTGTTCATGTTCGACTCGTTTACTTAACGAACGAACCGAACACGAGCTACTTAACGAGCCAAACATGAGCTGTTCGTGAACAACAAGTTTTTTTGACAGCCCTGACCACCATAAAGTTGTTCTCTTTTATGGAGAACCTATTGGAGGACCAATTCGAGAGCACGGGAGAAATTCAATGACAGAAATTCGAGAGAAGCTAAAGAGGCTTATTGAGATGCAATCCAAAATCCCACTGACAACTCAATTTGCAAACCCTAATCAAAGGTTGACGATGAATCCATGGCAAGAACGAAAGAGAAAGAGATTGAACGTGAGGAACATGAGGAAAACATCCATCATCACACCCCCCTCTTAGGGCTTCGATTGGGGGTGGATTAAAGATTTTTTTCACGACCGGACCCGGGGCCTGGAGTTAATCAAGACGTGAACCGACGGTCAGATCGTAGAAATCAATTCTTGCTAATCTATTTCTATCACAGACAGTTTAATATTCAAATAATATGTGAAAAAGCCACTAAAGAAATTAATTAAAATTAACAAGTAGAATTTTATACATTTACGTTTGTTGTTCTCGTCCTTTATACACTTTTGATTCCCTTCTGTTAATTTTATTCATATGCCTAAAACCTAAAAATATTATTAAAGCAACATGATGAGTTGTCTAA